AAGCTGAGCGGGAGCCGAGCTAAGCCAAGCTCCGGCAACACTAGTCAACAATGCCCTCACAATGCTGGACCCAGCTACTTCGCATTGGCCTTCGATTTTGCACCACGTGTCTGCCGACTTGGACGAGCGAGCGCCGCAGGTATTCCTAGTGCTTGGAAGTCCAGTCCCAAGACTGCAAAAAGACTGCAACTGGACCGGACCAAGACTGCAAAAGACCGGACCTGCAGTCTTGGTCTTTCAGATTTGAGATCACAAGACCGCAAAAAAACCGGTTTACATGGACCGGTCTTGTCGGTTAAGACCGGTCTTTTGTACCTACATAAAAACCCTTCAAAACGCACCTAAGATCATATTTTTAGGATAAAAACTGACAAAGATACATAAAAAACTGTAAAATATTTCGTGAAAATAGCAGATGTACCTTAGTATTTTTGTATATACATCAATTCTCAACGTAATTTAACGTCCTTGCACTCGTTTAGAAGCTACGAAGAATGTTAATAAAATTACCGACTCACAATTGCAAAATTTATGGCATATTTAGCTGAAAAACCGGTCTTGAACTGGTTGTAACCAGTTTGGACCAAGACTGGTCCAAAGACCGAAAAAGACCGCAGTCTTGGTCTTTTCCGGTCCTGGTCCGGTCTTTTGAGGTTTTAGGAACTGTGTGGACCGGTCTAGGTCTCGGTCTTTTCGTTTTGGGTCAAAAAACCGGACTGGACTGGACTTTCAAGCACTAGGTATTCCGGCACCGGAATCAGCATCAACTTGAACAACTGAAACCTGTTTTGGGCGTCGACCACAGGGAGCTTTAGCAGGTGGCACAGGCACATCAGCAACAGCCTCGGAGGTTGAGGGAACTGGCATGGGGACTCGACGATGTCCACGGGGTGGATTGATTGATTGGGAGATGGGCGCAACAGGAGCAGGGGTGTGCGCTTCCACGTTTGGATGCAAATCCGGCGCCTGTTCCACATCTGAGTGGGCGTTCACGCACACTACATCAGTTGGAAGGG